ATGGAATTATCTATGCTGTGATGGAGGGAGAATATATAATGTAAATTTAGATTATAATTATGCCCCGCGGTGGAAATTCTGAAGATGTAGGCGGGGGGGGGATAAATTTTAAATTTTTAGTGGACGACATGTTTAGACACATAGCTCAGCCAATCTCATTTGGTTTCCAAACGTTTTTTTTTTTTTTTTTTTTTTATCGCCGTTGTTTTTAAATATCCAACATTACAACAACAGATTGCTAAAAAAGATGAAATGTTGTAAGAACTTGGACGCAAATTTATCGTTAAAAACTCAGAAATCAGACCATTCTATTTTTCTGTATCATATTCTCATATACGCATGCGCACATAAAATGGCTGAGTTTTTGGTTTTTTACTATTATTATATTTTTTTACAAGTACTCTTTACGTGTGTATCGACACTTATGCTTAGGATCAGTGCAGTATCTGTGCACTCTGACTTTGTAGATTCAAATGAATTTTCCTGTGCTGCTTTGTCATTCTATAAGTACAATGCTGCTGAGCAATCATGTTATAATTCACACTTGCCACTGCCGCAGATAAATAATGGAGCAATCTGTTTTGACTCCGAGGAAAAATAGAAGGAAAAAGATGTAGAGACGCTGACAGGTTTTAGCGAAAAAAAGAAATAAAGAAAAAAAAACGGAAAGAGAATGCAAAGCAAAGTACAAAAAAGAAGAAAAAGGAAAGAATAAAAAGCAAAGTACAAGGAAAAGAAGGAAAAAAGAAAAGAAAAATCAAAGTACAAAATAGAAGAAAAAAGAAAGATAGTAGAAGCGATAAAACTCACATGCATTTAACGTCTGCTTCAGTGAAATGGAAAACATTGTCAATTTTGATTCTTATCATTTGTACCCTTTTCCTTCTTTAAATAATGACCTTCGTCCATAATTGCGATTGCTATTTAAGTAATTAGGATATGTAGGTTCTATAGTGGTTAGAGGTTCAGAACCATGAAAACGATCTGCCTTTCGAATTCTGAGATATATATATAGAGATATAGATAGATATATAGATGAATATATAGATGAATATAGAGATAGATATATATATATATATATATAGAGAGAGATAGAGATATATATATATATATATATATATATAGAGAGAGATAGAGATATATATATATATATATATATATATATATATAGAGAGAGAGAATATATATATATATATATATATATATATATATATATATATAGAGATATATATAGAGATATACATATATAGATAGATATATAGATATATATAGAGATATACATATATAGATAGATATATAGATATATATGAGATATACATATATAGATGAATATAGATATATATAGATATATATATAGATAGATATAGATATATATAGATATATATATGATATATATATATATATAGAGAGAGAGAGAGGAAATATATATATATATATATATATATATATATATATAGATATATAGATATATATATATATATAGACATGATATATACATATATACATATAGATGAATATAGAATATATAGATATATATATATATATATATATATATATAGATATATATATACATATATGTGTATATATATATATATATATATATATATATATATATATATGTTGACTTTGCACAAATACACTTCGAAAAGGTATAAATCCATTTATTCTCTCCACTCCAGCTATGGGCCGAATAGATGGGCAGACTGGACCATTCCCCAAGAAAAATCTAATTCATAGCATTTAATGCACCTTATTCAATATGCTAGAAATATTATTGGAAATCATTTTTGAACTTATTTAATATTTGTAAACCTGTTACGTTCTCAGCTGCATTTCTGTGATACGATTTTTTTTTTTTTTTTTTTTAACTGATTTTGTGTTTTATTTGACCGCGTCAAGAGGGTGGGGAAGGGGCAAATGTTATCATTTTTCCTTCCTGACTATTTAAATAGCTTACGAACATCAGCATTGAACAAGTTAACTAAAATTATCAACTGAATCATTGATGACGTCATCAAATCGGGCAGGATTCGGAAACTGTTATTAGTCTGTTGACGAGGTTTGATATGAGAGGTCACTTGGCTACTTAGGCTGTACTGAAAATAGTATATTTTAATTTTCCGCCTGGATTATTTTCTTGGGTTTTGCATTTTTTTTAATTTTTTTTTTTTTTTTTCATAAGGTGCCGATGGTAAATTCTGGCTTCGACAAGACATCAACGTCCTGGTATTTGTCTTAATTAATTTCGAAAAGTAATCATTCATTTTCACGAATATTTTCTTTCAAACTAATTTCTTTCGCACTGAGTGTTTTTTTTTTTTTTGTTTTTTTTTTATTAATCATTTCACCCTATTCAAGGCAATAAAGCCACTAAGACACAAGAGGTTACTGAGTGAAAGAATGAGAATAAAGAGAAACATTATTAAAGAGCAATAGAAGAAGAGTAATCAAGAAGACAGTAGATAACGATTGACATTGCATTTAAATTTTTGAAGATTAAAGTTGACTGGAAAGCATGGATCTGGGAGATATTTCTACAAGCGAGAAGTGCGGGAAAAGAAACTGTTAGCATAGAATTTACGGTTACATTTAGCCAATTCAATTGTAAATTGACGAGACCTTTTGGCCAGTCTAGTACAGCTCTTAAATTTATAAAGTCTAGGCACCATAACAGAAAGTTCAATTACTATAAAAGTATTTATAGAAAAGGCAATGTAGGAAGCTAGATTACGGCGTCGTGAAAGGGACTGTTGCCGAGAAACCAGGTCAAGACCATTAATATTGCTGATTCTTCTTTGTATGTTACCAAGAATCACTAAATATGTAGCAGGGACACCGGACCATATATGGCAGCAATGTATATTTTGTTTCCGGTCGGCGCTGTTTATTCAATGCTTTTTATCGACAGCCCAATTAAAGGTGAAAGTATATAATTCTAGTATAATTACGCTTGCCCCACCATTCATTAATTAGCACGACCATTACGCACTGTCAATATCATAAATAGAGACGGAACCAGATTAATCTGATAAGAACAAACACTACACTTAAATTTCGGCTAGAAGGACGAAAAGCGATGGCAACCCGCCATTTTTCAGACGCACAGTATCGACGGAAATCGAGTAAGCAATCGCCAAAATTCAATTACCATAAATTAAATTAAATAACATCATCTGCTGAATTGTTTTAAAATTATTATTAAGAAATGTTCGAAAGACGGGGATTTGGTTATAACGAAATAAATAAGGAAAGACAGAAGTGTTTAATATCTCCTGCCAATATCTCATAAATAATGGGCTATTCTGTTTTGATCGCGTGGAAAGCGAGGAAAAAGATACTACTTGATTTCAGTGAGAAAATGAATGAAAGAAAAGGAAAGGTAGAAGTGTTTAACGTCGATTTCAGTCAAATTTGAAAAAGTTGTCATTTTCAAATATTTTTATTTGTACCCCCTTACTTCTTAAAATAACGACCAGCATTCATATTTATGATTGTTATGTTAAAGTTGTTCAGCTCAAATAATTAACGATGCAATAGGGGAATTTCTGCGGATATTTTATTGTCGTAGAACTTGTCATGGCTTTATTCCATCATGAACTGAAGATTTAAGAATTACAAATTTAAATAAGAAAACTGTGAAATTTTTACGAGTTTTTCTAGTATTTATAATTATTATTTACAACAATAATAGTTGACAGATCTTCATTTAATTAAAAAAAAAGAAAAAAAGAGTAATCTTCTTACAAGACTTTGGTCTCCTTAAACAGGCAGTGAATCAATCCATTTTGAGAGTGGGGGAGTAGGTGGTGCAGCTCGTCTGGTTGGCCTTTACCACTGACTTTTGTGTGTTCCATCCTTACTGGCTGATCCGTAAAAAAATCCAACATTCAATGATCCAACAGTTGAAATGTAAAATTAACCACGCAATGTTTACCAGAGAGTGCTGCGAAAATGCAGCAATCATAGTTGAATAGAACTTGTAATAAAATAATAGCATAGGGTGTATAGGCTTTGAGAGTTGTATGTACCAAGTCATAGGGAAATTATTAACGAGGCTATTCTCTTTGACCTTTACTACAGAATAATAAGTTTGATACTCACTAGGTGCATCATACAAAATTCAAAATGAAATAGCTCAAAATCAACGAACTTCACCTTGCAAACCGGTCAGTATCGGGTAATGGCTAACAAGGTTTGATTGATCATTACTGCTGGATAGTGAGTTCGATCCACACTGGGTGCCACATACCATATTCGGCATTTAAAATCCAACAATGACTGATGTCTCGTAAAAATCAACCAAACTAAACTAACAAACAAAATCAATTACAATACAATTTCATTGTACGCTTACCTCCAATGCATTTCATAGTGAAGTCCGGTAGCAAGGTCTTTTATCGTGAGATTAGAGGTTTTGAGGAGCATGGAACCACCCCTTAATTGCTGGTGTTCCCAGGTCCACCCTGATTCAGAGTGGTAGCACCTGTTAGGGCCCCAGCTATAGGTAAATAGTGAAACCCCAAACCAAAACAATATAATATCCGATAATTTCTTAAAGAAATTTAACTGTATTCCAAAATATAACTTCAACAAAACTACAACATAAAACACACCTCTCACCGCCTCTAGTAATCCTGTCTACACAAATATGTAGATGCACAAAAGCTGAACATCATCTACCATGTATTCAATTGTGAAAGCAGAATAACATATATCATATTTCTATTACTTCAAAGCTCCCAAGAAAATTAAATGTCGGCGTTAAATGACCTACAAGGATGTTGATATGCCGTTAAACAAAAAATCAAACAGTGAAATATTTTCCAAGTGATTTAACGTGTAGCCCTTGTGTGTAAATAATGATTGGCCCCAGTGTTCGCGGCATAGTGAGTCTTTGCTGTAAACGATGACTGGTCTCTCTTTACATGACATGGTGCGTCCTTGCGGGGAACGATGATTGGTCCCAGCGTTCGCGGCATGGTAGTTCCTTGCTATGAACGATGATTGGTCCCTGTCTTCATGGGCATGATGGTTCCTTGCTGTGAAAGATGACTTATCCCAGTTTTTGTGGCATGGTGAGTCCTTGCTGTGGACTACTGAACTGCCTCTCTTTGAAGGTAAAATATACAAAATTCAACATTAAACATTAAGTACCTAGATTTTAGGAATTTAAACGCAGTACAAGATTGGCGACAAGGTCTGATTATTTTACATTTGGTTGGTTGGTTGATTGATTTTTAGCAGCACATCAACATCTCTATGGGTTATTTAATGCCAAAATCTAAATATTTTAAACACAAATTTACCTTCAACTACAGATAAAATGTATTGTTGGTAACTATATAAAATATATTGATTGTCATTTTATTATAATATATATTGTTGGTAATTATTTTGATATAAAAATGTATTGCTGGGATTTTTACTATAAATATTTATTTTAAATACTTCCATAGTGTTTTGTTTGGGGATTCACTATTTGCCCGTAGTTGGGACCCAAACAGGTGCTGCCACCTCGAGAACAACAACAACAACAATTAAGTGGTGGTTCCAGGTTTCTCATTCTACCGATCAGAGGCCTTGCTGCTGGATGTAGTTTATCGTCATACCCAGGACTCGTTTTATAGTTGAAATGGTTAAATGTAACCTGTTCTACGCTAACAGTTTCTTTTCTCGCACTTCTCGCTTATGGAACTCTCTTCAGGCTTCTCGTTTCCCATTTGATTTTCAAAAATTTAAATGCAATCTTAATCGTTATTACCTGTCTTAATACCTGTTTTTATTATTATTACTTAAATCTTGATTATAAGTAAATGATAGGTAAAAAAAGTCAAGGGTAATTATTTATTTTTAACATATTTAAAAATTGCACTGGCTATTATTTGTGTCAAGCGGCAATAATTGTAAGTAAAATAATGTTCTGAAATAAGTAACCATTTTAAGTCCTCTGAATATCAGTACCTATCATATTTTTATTATTACATTTATGATTTTATATATATATAATGAAGAAATATAAGGTGTGTTATATTTATGGGATAAAGTGCTCAATATCAGAGATAGAGCGTATGTAACTATAAAAGTGAACATTGAAATCAACACTCAGAGGCGACAGACTGTTTCATGCTGGACGCATTCGTCAGGCTGCGAATGGGCTTCGATTCGCGGCCTGACGAATGCACCCAGCATGAAACAGCCTGTTGCCTCAGTGTTGACTTTAGTGTTCACTTATATATGTTTGTGTGTGTGTGTGTATTTAGGCAGCAGTCCTTCTTTCATGCAGATTTCATTAAATACGATAGACAAGGTACTAGTTTTAGTTTTTTATACAATTTCTTATATGATCTAATAATTTTCTTCTTTTCAGATGATAGATTGTATAAAAACTGTCCGAATGTTCTTTTTTCCGCGCGTTTTCGGCTATACATTTAGCCATTTTCAAGGATGAAGTATTTTAACTATTAAATAAGAAATAATTTGTTGCATCTATGTATTTATATTATATAAATACATACAAACTATTTCTTGTGTGTGATTTATTATTCTACTCCGCCAATCTAGTCTATTTATAGCCACCCTGCACCTGTGAGGTATCTCTGTCTGGTGAAAACATGTGGCAAACATGTACTTCTTTATTTGCGGGTGGTTCTTGTGCAGTGATGGATCGAGTAGTTGGAGTAAAGAAAATTCAAAAAGAAGTCAAGATAGACATTATATGTCTCTCTATGGTTTCTTGAACGTTAGTGATTACTTGTCTGAATTGATTTCAATTTATATGGTGGGTGGCCCAGATGTTTTCTTTTGTCATCATACACACTTCCATGTTCATTTTTATTAGCCCTCCCCATTACTTATTTTCATTTTTATTTCTCCCACCACTTTTATCTTCTTATTTCTACTCCACTCAATGAAGTTTATATTTCTTTCTTTTTTTTTTTGTTTTTTTGTTCACCCTCTTGTGTTATTGATGTCCTTGTAATCTGTCTGTTTTAATTGCTCTAATAAAATGATTTTCTAACCTTTCGAAAATATCTCATTGAAGTTATCTTTCTACTTTCTTGTCGCTATCCTTGCCTCTTTTTTTGTCGTTTTATCGCCCCCCTCCCCTCCTTCTCACTTTCATTTCCGTTTCTCCTCTTCCTCTCATACCAGAACTTTTGGCGCTTTTATCTCTCTCTCTATTTCGTTTGATATTTTCTTCCTCTATTTGATTTGATTTACTCCCTCCCCACCTATCTATCATTTGATTTCCTCTTCTCTGTGTTTGATCTTTTATTTCCCCCTCTATTTGTACATTTATTTTCCCTTTCTTCTCTCTCTCCTTTTACTTCCTCTCTCTTTCTTTGTCTTATATTTATTTTCCCCCTCTCTTTGTCGTGTTATTTCTCTTCCTCTCTCTCTCTCTCTCTCCTTTTAGTTTTCTCTTCCTTTGTCTTTCTCAATCCCTCATTTTTTTTTCTTTGTATTTCTCTCGCTTCCTCTTTTCTTTGTCCTTCCTTGCCTTTTTCACCCGTCATTTGCATTCTCGGTCCTTCACTCACCCGGGCTACCTCTCTTTTATTTTTTTTTTTTTATTACTCATTCCCTCTCTTTATCATTGTGATTTAGATAAAGAAAATTTTAAAATATTTTTACTTTTTAACACAATAATAGCAAGCAAGACAGAACAACGAAAACGAATTACTAAATCCGGACTCAGACAAGGAAATTCTTGTGCGCAAAAAAAAAAAATCATCTATCCAATTCAGCAGCCGATAAGAAAAAAAAGGGTCCTCAAGGACACATGGCACAATGGATAAAGGCGTTGGTTAGATCCAGTGACAAAGAGTGCGAGTTCAATACCCGGTTAAGGCAGTGGAAAGAGAGGGGAAATAACAGGAGATAACTGATAACTGACATCCTTTAAACATGGCACGTGGAACTAGAAGATTCTACCCCAGTGACCGAAATAAAAGGTTCAGTTCGAAATTCCAACCACCTGAAGCAGGCTGAAGCGTACAACGGCCGAAACGTTGTGATAAATATGGCGACAAAGTTGAGGACAATAATCCGAATAAGGTAAACAGTGTAAAAAATTCGTCACATTGTAAGTTGATTAATTCTAACTGATATTTTTCTGCCACTTGCTCCTTAAATTAAGTAGATATTTAGTGTCCAGGTGTTAAGTTGGCGGGATGGATGTGACCCAGGGGTTGCCGATACCTAATCTAGAAGGTTAATAGCGTTCCATTTGCTATTATCTCTATAGTATTTCAGCCCTTGTATTTTACCCTCCCCCCTCCATCAACTGCCCTTGTTCTGCTCTTCCTACTCCACCTATCAAATAACCTAGGGGGTTATCAATGTCTTGCAAACTGTATCTATAAGCGCTCTCGAATTCTTTCTATCTACCAGTATTTCAACCACTGGCAATATATATAAGAGCACCTTTTACAAGGTTGAAGGTGTAGCCACCAACACAGTAGTCAAGCTCTGATATCAACAGCTTGTTATGCAACCCATCCAGCCATACCAATAGAATTTTAAATCAAGTTTCGGTTCTTTACGATCGATAATCTTTTACCCTTTGAACCTTCGTGCTTGTTCCTTTTCTTTTTATATGGTCCCTCACCACCTCCTGCAGCGTGTCTCCTTTTCTTCTTCTTGTCTTAGGCCCTGACTATGACACTCAAGCTCTTCACCAAATCTCCCATACGCACAGTTCCAGTACTAGAGCTGCAGACCCCCAACGAAATGGGATTAGGAAATTGTCCAGAGTCTCCCATACAGATCCGACTAACCCTATTTTCTAATCTCATTCGAAATAAAAATTGACCTGCTCAATGAGCTACTCCACCTAGATATCTCCATCCCCACATTATGAACATTTCATTTAAACGAACGTCTTAATTGGTCATCCACGCTTGTTGAAATATCAACGTATCTCCTTTCTATATATATCATGAAGCTGGTAACATCGGGAAGATCCTGCAACCTGACCACTGGCCTATAACTGAACAATCTCTATCTATAAAAGGCGTGTGTGTGTGTGTGCGTGTGTGTGTGTGTAACGAATGCACGGCCGCAATTTTCGACGGATTTGCACCAAAATTTACATGCACATGCTCCAAGTTATTGGGAAGGCCAAGACCGATAGTGGAAATAATCGATTTTCTTTCATGCTTCTACGGCAGTTTTCATGTAGATTGCGGCCATTTTGTACTGGTCAGAGTGAGAGCCAATAGCTGGCTGCCACGAATAGGCAGGAAGATTCTATTGGCCAGCGTCAGAGCCAACAGCTGACTGACACGAATGTTAACTAGCATGCTAGCATGCAAAAAATCGATAGCTGCATTCGTCACAAGTAGGAAAAATTTAAATCTGCATGGCACTTTACTCCAATTGGCTCATTCGCTTGCTTAAACTCAACGTTGATTCTGATTCGGCAGAACTGGGTTGGGTGTGAAAAAGTATTCGTTCTGAACATTCTTTTTTCATTCGGTTTTTCTAGTTAAAGTCCTTTTTTAAAGCTGATCGTTTTGTGTTCATTTTGCTTAGTTCTTTTTTCGTAACAGATTTAATGTTTAGTATAGAGCTTAGAAAAAATCGCAGTGTGAGATAGGTAAGAAGTAAGGCATGTACCAACATCAGCACGGCAATGGGCACTCCTTTAAAGGCAAGGAAGGGCAAAAATATTTTAAGTCAAGTGATAGCGATTGCTGTATGAGTCGTACGATTTTTGAATCAAACACAGGCAACGCCGGGCCATTCTGCTAATACTAAATAAAAATAAGAACTAGACAAGATATCCATAGAACAGTCTACCTCCGTAGATTAAATAAAGAGATTAGTTCGGAATTCCCTGTAGGTTACTCGGATTGATATACACCTGATGAAGGCCAGCACAATCGCCGAAACGTTATGATTACATCGACAAAGACGACAGCAATAATCCGCATGTAAAACAGCGTAAATAATGACTTTTCATCCCAGAAATTCAGACAGGAAAAAAAGATATTTTTTAAAAAAATAGTATAAACAAAGATCACAATGTTGGTTCACTCGCAAAGGATTGTTTAACTTAAGTATTTTATCCGTCGGCATTTTATTTCCTTGTTTAAAGCTTAGGGTATTTGAACAGATCAATTTTTTTTTTTTTTTTTTTTTTGTCTGGTCGGACATTTCACCGATTTCTTGAAATTCCTTCGTTAGGAAATCAAGAACATCGATTACTCGACTTTAATCACTTTCCCTGTTTCGTGCCAGACAATTTTTCTCCTCAGATTCTATGTTAGATATTTATAAGTCTGCCATTCATCATTGCTTTGAATATTGCCGCTATATCTGGTCTGGTGCTTATGCTATATATTTAGTGATTCTTGATAAAATCCAAAGAATCTGCAATGTTATTGGTCCTGACATGGCATCACTGCTTAAAGTCCCTTTCCAATCGCCATAACGTAACTTCCCTCTGTCTTTTCTTTAAATAATTTCATGGTAATCGTTCGAATGAACTTTCCTCTATGATACCTTAAACTTAGTGAATTAAAGTGCAGTACTAGATTGACAGTACAGTTGAAATGGCTAAGTGTAACCGCAAGTTCTACGTTAGCAGTTTCCTCTATCGCTCATCTTGCTTCTGAACCTCTATCTCAGTTTCCTAATGTCTAAACATTTAAATGAAATGGCAATTGTTATTTTCTGTCTTAATTCTTGTTCTTTTATTGTTCTCTCTCCGTAATAGTAATTTTTTTATATTCCCTAACATCCAATAAAGCCACTAAGACGACTCCTTGCGTATTAGTGGCTTTATTGCCTAGTTTTGGGGGTGAAATGATTTAAAAAAAAAAAACTTTTGGGAGCACGTCTTAAGCTGTACGCGGTGTGACAAATTTAATTCCAAAAATAAGTTTGCTTATCTGGTCTCTATTGACCAATCTCACCTTTAAATTACCCCCCGTTCATTAAACAATGATGCCATTGCTGGAAATCTTCTTGGAACTCATTTTCCGGTGTACATTTCAGTAATATATTCACGTGTTTCCGGTTGCCGGCGACATTAACAAATATTTTTCCTGTTAGGGCGTTTTTTTTTGTTTTTTTTTAATTTTAGAATGGGACGTTCCGGCGTATCCCATTTGACATCACTGAGTCGTTGTAGCCGATTCGACATAGGAATTATTCGACAGAGAGACGATTAAGCGTCAGATTACTACTTCGTCGTTATAGTCACACACACACACACACATATATATATATATATATATATATATATCCTCCTTCTCCTCAGTACTTCATCGTTATATGCCCGAATAGTCCAATTTAAGAAAAAGGGTTGTTGGAGCCATTTTTAAATTTAAGAAAAAGAGTAGTTGGAGATTTTATATTATATTTCTTTCAGTACAGCTTCTTTTTTTTTTTTTTTAATTCTTTTTGAAATACAATATTTTTTTTAATTTGTTTCTAATTTACATTATTCCATTAGTGTTTTAATAGGATCCTTAATTCCCTAAATGAATAAAATGCCATATTGAAAGTTGAGTGTTTTCAATGCTTTTATCCTTTGTGGGGGGGGGGTGCCTCTGGTCAAAGACAGTGGCGTCGAAACAGTCTGACGCCTAAACGGCTGTGCCGAATAATCCAATTATTTTTCTGACGCCGAAACGTACCAAACCGTTTAATTTTGGATATAGGAAACAATTTTGGTGTACGAAATGGGTGATCGTCTTTTTTTTTAAATAATAGATTTCCTCCGCCCAAGGGAACTCGTAAACGCATCATTTTCTCATTCCCAAATCGTCCCTTAGACTTTGTCTGATTGATCTATTCAGATTCAATTCTTCTGCTATCAGTCGCACAATTAAGTCACACTCTTTCTAGATTTGCGTCTTTGTGATATGGCTACCCACTTCTCGTGCCATTGTACACATATCCCCCTGCCTTGAACTGCTAGTACCATTAAAAAATGTTCTCTATACACCATTATTAAGCCTAATGTTTCACTCGCCTTATTACCAATCTTAGCACAAAATGTATGTTAATCCGCTGCTTCAGATTCCTTTCTCTGCCAACAGTATCACATGAACACGCACATCTTCCTCTACTGCTCGGCAACGACTAGTTGTTTTTCAAAATCACACAAATGTTTGCCTAACTCATTACATCTGCGACACACTGTGGCCATTCGACGAATTATCATACCTCGTATGTTACACGTGCTCAGGGTTCGAAATCTGATAAAAATCGGATATCAAACGCTGATTTTCAAGGCGAACTACCCTTCTACACTTTGGTTTGGCGCGACACAATTTTCTGGATTTGATGCTGTAGTAGACACATCAATTTGTTTGTCGATGTATATTGGAATGGGTGAACCTTCCATGAGAAGAACACTGCACTTGCAGCCTGAAAATCGATCAACTAGTAAGCCGCTGTACGCTCCGGCCTTCAGGTGGTTGGAATGTCGAACTGAACCCTTTATTTCGCTCACTGGGGTAGACTGTTCTAGTTCCACGTGCCATGTTTTGATGGATGTCAGTTATCAGTTATCTCCTGTTAATTCCTCAAGGACACATGGCACAGTGAATAAAGACGTTGGTTAGATCCAGTGACAGGACCCAAAGAGTGTGAGTTCAATACCCAGTTAAGGCAGTGGAGAACTTTCAGAGGGAAATTAACAGGAGATAACTGATAACTGACATCCATCAAAACATGGCACGTGGAACTAGAACAGTCTACCCCAGTGAGCGAAATAAAGGGTTCAGTTCGATATTCCAACCACCTGAAGAAGGCCGGAGCGTACAATGGCCGAAACGTTGTGATAAATATGGCGACAAAGATGAAGACAATAGTCCGAATAATGTAAATAACGTACATAATACCTCATCTCAGAAATATAGACAGACTAGTAAGCCGTTGTGCAATTTTCTTTCAATTGAATATGATTGCTCTGTATTTGTGTAGGTGAGCAATTTTCATGTGTTTATTTTCTTGTATGATCTATACCTTAATTTACGATTATTACCATAAAGGCCCCTATCCCATTTGGTATAGTGGTGCACTTTTTCGCTATTCATAAACGTACCATTTGTATAGATGTTACCTCAAGTAATTAACAGCTCTTTCCTTGCAAAATTTAAAATTGTCTTTTCTTAATTCCTTGCTACCTCGAACTTGACACTAGAAGGAATGATAATCGTTACTGACGAATTGATATGTTTAATCCGTTATTCCATGGATTGGAATAAAAGAATGGACTTCCATTATTTCATTCCTGTTTGTTTCTTTGCTTCTCTCTCTAAGCAAAAGGAATATTAAAACGTTTGCCATTTTTACCATCTCGGCCTGAACACATCAGGTCGTTTGGATATAGCTCTTGGAATAGCTGAACGTTCATTTTCCCAGCTTTCTCCATGAGGAAAAAGTAGCACTTACGGCCTGAAGATCCTTTTCAGTAAGCCGGTGTGCAAGTTTCTTAACCAAATATGTTAGCTCAATCTCTGATATTGAGCGCTTTCTATCAAAGTACCATATATAATATATAAATAATATATATATATATATATATATATATATATATATATATATATACACTTTTCACACACACATATATAATTTTTGGTATTTTTGTAGGAGGTTAAGTGTTTAAAATTCTTTTTTCTTCTTTGCTACCTGGTATTTTAAACTAGAAGGAATAGTAGCTACTTTTAACTATGTTCTGATGAAGACCTCACGATTGCAAAAGTCTGAATAAATACAAGTTGTTCTTCTAACCTTCATTAATGTGCACGCAAGGGACTTTCTTAGTAACACAGAAGCCGCCAGGATTACTAAAGTCACAGGCATATGGAGGCTTAGTCAAATAATGATCTCGTCAACCAAAGTTTTAATCCTTTGTTAAACTGTCTTTTGGTCAGCGAGCAATACGGAAGAATTCCAAAGACTACTTAAAAAGAAACTCTTAATTTCTTGATACATCGACTGCAACGGGTGAACAGCTCTGGTCATAAGTAACAAGCTAATAATCTAAGCTCACTTCTGTTTTAACAAAAAAAAAAGCCGTGTCCAGGAGACGAGATAGTTGTAAATACCTTGTTCAAGTAATATTTGTAAAAATACCAAAAAATTCAGATGAGTTTATTTGTATTTACTTCGAATTAATTCCCTTAGGAAAGATATTAACCTTGTTTTCTTCTATTCTGTTCGAATGTTATTTTAATAAAATATATTATTGACATGCTGATATAAAAGATCAACATCATCACTCCCATGACCGGGTGTTGTCGTAGGGTCCCTGTGCAACCGAGCACCTAACAAGCTACCTCCATATGTGTTCGGCTCGGTGCCAATGTCTTAGTCTCTGTGAATGATTTTCCAGTCTACTTAGTGACGTTATCAACCCATTTACATGTCTGTCTCTTCTGTTGTCGCGTAAGGTGTCAGCTTGTAGGCTGGCATTGGAAAGATTGCTGGCTCCTATTACGAAGTCATAACATTTTTTCTCTTTAATGATGGATATAAGGTCTTCCAACGAGCCTGTTTATTACCTGATGGTGTCTCAGACTAAATCAACAGTGATGTAGTCTACGCAGGAGGTACCTACGATGCAGAATCTTATTTCTAATGTTTAGATTCTTCTCTATAACTCTGCCGTTAATATTCAAGATTCGCTAGCGAATAGAAAGACTGAGAATAGCTATTCACGTCACATTGTTGGGCTTTGATTTCAAGTAGACGTCCTTCTCATTCCAAGTCGTTCATACTTTTGCGACGCCTGTCATTGTGTTGCTCTTGGAGTGATTTCTATTTTGTCGTCCTCTTCCTTGATGATCGTGAACTTGGTTCAATACTCTACATTTCTCATTTTCTATAATAAAAGATAGTAGGCGAAAAAGCATTTGGTCGACCACTATTCACATTAAATACCCATGTAGTAGAAACAAAAAGCTGTTGCCCTCATTATCAGCCTTGTCGACCACATCGGCCATCAGCAGGCTTGCACCTAAATTGGAACGCCTTTTT